AGTACGCCAGAAGGCAACATTTTAAAGAGCATAAAACTATTGCTAGTTACGGCAAAAAAAAAAAAAAAAAACTAGAGACAAGACATTCTGAATGAGCAAATGAATGAATCTTCCGCCAAATCTTATTTAAAACCTGATGTAGTGTTGATTGGAACCACCGCTCACACCAGGTACCTCCAGACTCACTCAGCAGAATGACTGTCCAGTTTCTTTGATATGGATCGTACAGTCAGTATATTCTAATAAAGATAAACTCCAAACTCATTACCTTTGATACACCTTGTTCTTGACCTAAATGTAATAGTAATTTTTCCTGAGGGTACATAATATACATGAAAAAGTTCAACTTCCTTTTAAAACACCATTAGAATATTTTACTGGATGTGGACATACACTCTGGTTACTCCTAAATGCTATTCTATTGAGTACAGTTTATATTCACTGGCAAAGCTAAATCTCAGGGGAAGCTAGAGAGGGAATGCAATTTCTAGTAATAACAGCTCACAACAGTGAATACTATCCACTTATCCCCACAATTTCCAGCTATTTTGGACTCCTTTCTGAATTAACCTTTCATATCAAAAGGAGCAATTCTGCACACTAGAGACTCCGACACAATTTCATGCATAATTTATTCACTCAGTTCAACATTAAACGCAGAGTCCTTGACTTTGTCAAGGTGGATTCTGCTGGCAGACTTCACAAGCAGCAAAACAGGAGAAATGAGATCTGCAGCTCAACCTATTCACCTATTCTTGCTGGTAAAGGGGGGCTGGAGGTAGAAAAAAACCTACATGGTTGCACAATGCCCTGAAGTCAGCGCAATCTTCTGCAAGCACGTTAATTTTTTCATGTTGTATTTTAGACTTTGAAATGGACATAACAAAAACAACAAACCTGAATCATTTCCTCTGCACTTTGCATTCACGTTGGGCCCGATCCTCCATTCTTTGTTCAACAAAAACTCCCCCACAAGTCAATGGGAGTTTTGTATGCAGGATTGGGCTCATTTGGTACAACCCTTGCATGTGTGTGAAGGCATGTTATTTAGACAGAATACTACACATTGGAGTATTTTTTTGAAAGGGCTTAGTTTGGAAAGGATTCTGGGGTGTCAGTGTGAGCACCAGAAGTCTGAACACAGAAAAGGGAAGCTTCCATGCTTATTTCAAAAGAGTTTAAATTCTGTATTTTTGGTCATTCATCTGTACCAAATTCGGGACACAAGAGGTTATTTTTTCATGCTAGCAAGTGCATGCTAAGCTGCCACTGCCCTTTGCTGCCTATTTTCACTTGCACCTAAAGCAGGTTTTAATCAAATATTCAAATGTGAAAAGGCTATTGCATTATTATTATTAAACAGTATGCCTCTTCCATGGATGGATTTGTATATGCCAGCTACCTGCAGGAGGTAGGTTTTTACACACCTGGTGAATCCCTTCAGAAGTGGTAGCTACATTTCTAGGAAAGATTTTACTGCATTGCACATAAAGAGCTGCAGGTGAGGAGAAGTTGCCCAAATGCATTAACAAACAGGCAGTTTTTCACCATAAGCAGCATATCTATCTCAGGCCCCGATCCAGCAAAGCCCTTAAGCATGTGCTTAACTCTAAGCATATGAGTACACCCATTAACTTCAACGGGAGTACTATGCTAATCTAAATACCGTACAACCTGGTAGTGTTCTGAGGCATGGATGGAATACACAGTGCTCAGAGAATATGCCAGGCAGTCCTATTAAAGATAACTTTGGCATGCATGATGTATCTTCCCAGTGTTGGTGGCATGCAGCATTCACAGAGTTGATTTCTACCTGCAGTGCTAAACAAAACAAAGCCATGCAATAGGATGTGCAGAACGGGTAATCTTTGACAAAGGGACTAAGAAACTTGCTGTGATTATATGTTTAAGTCACTAGAGGGAGAGGCTTTGGGAAGCCTGCATGGGGGGTATATATGTATCCTCTGTGCTCTGCTGCTACACTTCATGGAAGCTCCATGAATGGGGTGAATTAGGAAAGCTATGGAAGCATGTCCAGTAGATATGATCTATATGGATCAAATTTCCTGTGGGCACAATTCCTGTGGAAGCTGTTGCAGACTACAGGCCACAGTAACACTCAAGGGGAGTTTTTGTTGCCACTCTATGACTTGGGGGTCAGGATGATTCTGTCTCCCATGATCCCTGTGGAGCACCATGAAGAAAAGGAATTTATTGGGGCTCTGCCATGGAAGAGAGCATTTGGGCTGAGCTTTCATCTCTTCATAAGTTTAAGACCAGAAGGGGCCATTACATCATCTAGTGTCTGACCTCCCACATATCAAGACATTACATTTCACCCAGAGAACCCTATGCTGAGCCCAATGACTTGTTAAACTAAAGCATTTTAGCTCTCAGGAGACTAACCTATTGTACGCCACCAGCAGAGGACAGGAGAGAGACTTAGGCACCGATGTCACCAGAAGGGAACTGATTAGGTGGCATATGTCCTGATGATCCTACCAGACAACCCGTGCTCCATTCTCCAGAGGGAAACAGAGAACTCCCAGTGTTGTCAGCCCATCTGACCCACAGGAAAATTTCTGGTGGTCAGTTAGACCCTAAGCACAGGAGCACGACACATCAATCAGGCACCTAAGATAGGGGATTCTCCATACCACCTCAGAGCACCAGTCCACCACAACAAGCTCTAGCTCTAAGGTTAGAAGGAAGAAGCTAACACACATGTCCCATTGAGCACCTGTGCAAGACACACAGATATCTGACCACTTCAATAGAATACCATAACTAAAAACATCTTTTGGCTCTAAGAAATCAACTTGAGCTGCAGACAGACATTTTCAGCTCTCGTTTTTACACGTTTACCTAAGAATATCACTGGGATTTTCACAGCTGCCTAATGGGGGCTAGAAGCACAGCTCATCAATTTCAAAGGGAATTGTGCACCTAAACCCATCCCCTGCTCTTTATAAAATGTAATATCTTTTCTATGAAAAAATAGGTTATTGTCATTACTGCTGTACCTTAAACAGGTTTTTTTTTTTCCATGTACGTAAGAACATAAGAATGTCCATACTGGGTCAGACCAATGGGCCATCTAGCCCAGTATCCTGTCTTCCAACAGTGGCTAATGCCGGGTGCTTCAGAGGAAATTAACAGAACAGGTCAATTATCATATGATCCATCTTCTGTCATCCAGTCAGAGGCTTTGGGACACCAGAGCATGGTGCTGCATTCCTGACCATTTTGGCTAATAGCCATTGATTGACCTATCCCCCCCATGATCTTATCTAATTCTTTTTTAATCCAGTATTGTTTTGGCCTTCACAACATCTCCTGGCAATGAGTTCCACAGGTTGTAGTTAATCTAACAAAATTCCAATCTCCTAAAACAGTGATCCTGCTCCTGTTGAAGCCAATGACAAATTGCCCATTGACTTCAATGGTGCAGAGTCAGGCGCTAATACCGTAATTCTTCAATCTTTCCATAAGAAGGAATCCACAGCCAGGAGGCAATAAGCACCTCCAACCAAATACCGAACACCTTCAACTCCCACTAGCTTAAATGGGAGTTCAAGGCACTGAGCCTCTTGCAGCATTGTGCTTGGAATGTTCTTTTGGTGGTTGCTGATAAGAAGCAACAGGAAGATATAAAATCAATTGCAGCATTATCTTTCAAGTATTTAATTTTCATGTCTTGGCTCCCATTCTGGTCCCTTCTTTAATCTCTACACAGCAGGTACCCCGCCTGCCTCTAGACATTTTAATTCAGTCACAGTAAGTCAGTTGCACAGAATGAGCACTAGAGAGCAACAGCAATTCAATTAATTTCATGCTCACTGCAGGGAGCAAGGATTTTAAACACCACTTGTTGCAGGTGATCTGTATCATTTCATGTTCAGGATGCATGCCAAAGGTCTATTTCTTTCCTATCCAAATGCATAGGTCACAAAAGCCAGAAGTCAAAAAGCTCCTGGCCATTCAATTTTAGAAATGAATACAGTCCCTGCTAATGCAAATTATGTTACAGCTGAGCCCACACTTTAAACTGACGTCATTTTCAGTCTCAAATTCATTGGCATTAGTACTAGAAATGTCCCTTGCTTAATGATGCCTACCATGGGTGATCAGCAGAAATAGAACCCTCAACCTTCAGAATCAAATGTTTGGGTAGCTAACACTTCAGACAAAGGAGTGCCTCCATTAGCAGGTATCAGTGGTAGGCTTTACTCTTCTATGGGACCAGCCTATGGACCAGACAAACCAAATCTGACTACCATGCTACATAATGCTTTGGAAGTGGAAAATTTTTGTCCTGATTCTCTGATTGCATCATCAGTAGGAATATATCTAGAGAGTATCACCAAAGAGAAGACCTCTACCATTTCAGCAGCAGAACTTGGTCCATCTTTTGTAAATCGTACCAGATGGCTAGTCTCTGTGGGGTCAGTCACAGAGGGCCACATGTATACTTTGCCCATGTGTTGCTTTGGGAATCATAGGATCTGATCCAAAGTCCACTGAAGTCAGTGGAAAAGCTTCAATTGACTTTGATGGGTATGATCCAAAGTCCACTGAATTTAGAGATGAATCGTTCTCCTGATTAAAAAGTTTCAACTCTTCTAGATCGGAAACAGAAACAATACCATGTGATTTAGCAGTCCAGTCACACACCAGGAATAACAAATAGCCCCAACTAAATAGTTGAAATGAACAGTTCATGAAAAATCCACGCACTGAACTTTTTTTTTTTTTGCATATTTGCAAATGGAAAAGAAATCAGGATAAATCAGCAACCTGAGAACAGGAAATAGGACTACATTTATTTGCAAGCAATACCATCACCAGCTCTAAAAATGAATGTCCCCTTCCTTAAGATTGCAACCACTTTGGGCAGGGAAATGTCTTTTTGTTCTGGGTTTGTACAGAACCTAGCACAGTGGGGCTCCTAGATGCGACGGTAATACAAATAATGAATAACGAATAGTAAGTGAGTTTACCTCCAGAGTGGCTGCTGTGGGTCCCACTTTCACACTTATCTGTTTGACATGAGATGAGTAATCAGACGCTTCCTGGCTTTTCACTCCAAGATATGGCTCTGTTGCACATGCAGTTATTCTTCCATCAACTGGCAATGCCTCCGCCATAGCAAGGATAACGCAACCTTTAAGCCTGCCAATTAATAAAATCCTCTTGGCTCCAACCATATGAACAAACAGCCTGAGAACTTGGCCTATTTAAAGAACATAACAAACTGTTAAAAATAACCATATTAAAGACAATACACTGTACATTGTTCACAATGAAAATTCAATCTAACTTCTAAGTGATCTTTTTTTTTTTTTAATCACATCTTAAAACACTTCAGAATAGGGGGTTTAACAACAGAATCTGACAGCATCTCATCTAAAATGCTGCTAACGACAACAGAATAAAGGTCCTGGTTTTAAGTGTAGAATCTTTATTATCAATGCTGGTATTGTTTAAGTGCTTGTTAAATAGTGCTTGAAATATTGCATATTTTAACATCCCCCCAGAAGAAAATGGCTTTAAGATGTCTTCTGTATTCTTTCTGGGACCAGGTTAAAAAAAAATCACATTACCTTGCATTTGCTCTTAGAGTCATTATCCCCAGACAGCACCATCATTTAAGAAATTTATCATCAGCGCTGTCCTTTGAACAATGTATTAGTGTAATACATTACAAGAGTGCTTCACTGCAATGATGTATCACGGAAAAGATGGCAACATCTGGGAAGAACGAGTCCAGGAATAGATTTAGTGCAATAGCTTTGCACGTGAACACAACCCCAAGTGTCGTTAGTTTGGAAAGGACCAATACTTGCCCCACTGCAAGCACACTTAAACAACCTCTGCCAACCTGCCATTTAAAAAAAAAATTGCCCTTCACCCCATTAATCCGATCTCTTTATTGTTTGTGAAAGAGGCAGAGCAGGTTTGCAAATTGGATTTTCAAGAAAAATGAAGAATTCAACCTGAGAAAAACCTCTCATTTAAATCCTTTTTGTCTCAAACACTTTCACGTTGTCCGCCTGCATCCATCAAACCCTCTCTCTGGATGCATGGGATATAGTGGGACGAGCATCATGGTCTTACTGGTATCTGGCATTCAAAGTCCGTAGCATTTAATTGTGACTCAGACCGATGGACTTGCCTTTTAGATAGCCAGAGGCACATTCTTTATGAGGCTTAACTTTTGGTTCAACTCCTGCGACTTTCAGCTGACAGCCTTCAAGTGAGGCTATTCTAAAAAGGAAAAAAATCAGCTGAATGTTATTGTCTTGTACAACATCTACAAATTCCCCCACATACACCATGGCACAAGATACGGCATGCCCACAAATAGTGGAATGATATGCAAGAATATTGGGGTCCAGAAGAACCACTGGTACCCTGAGCAACAAGGGTCCCCGGAGGGCTCTGAAGCAGGCAAGCAGCATCACAAGAAGAATAGACTGCTCTGCTGTGGTATGTTCCGGAGGCTCCTATGCTCCACAAGTCACAGAATTCATTCAGAGTCAATCCAGCTCTAGGACAGCAGTAACTCCCAGGGCATTGGTAGGTTGTGGTCATGGTTTATATAAAACAGAACCGCTGTAAAGGAAAGGAGGTCCCTCGTTGAGAGCTGATGTGTGGCAACTCCCCAGCTGTTCTTGGTATATTATCTCTGTGACCTCCACTGAGCACTCCTTTTCTGGGCTGGCAACTCCAAAACAGAGCTACTGCCTTCAGCAGGCTCAATTTCTTGGAGATGGAGCTCATTTAACCTCCTCTCTGTAGCCCGGGAAGAACCCACTGGACATCAGGAGACTCCATGATGATAATCTTGGGAGCCACCAGGCATTATTCCACAGAGCCCAGCTAGCGTACAGTGTATGCCAATCAGACAGGGTTAAATAAGGGTATGTCTACACAGCAATTAAACACCATGGCCTGGGTCAGATGATTTGGGCTCGTGGGGCTCAGGCTATGGGGCTGTAAAACTGCTAGGTAGAGATTCAGGCTTGGGCTGGCGTCTGAGCTCTGGGACCCTGGGAGTAGGGAGGCTCTGCTTTGGAAAGAAGACAGCATGGGATATTGAAGCAGGCCAGAGCCACCAGGCAGGTGAGATTCCCCCATCTGAAGAGAATAGCCACCACAGCTGTCAATCCCAGGAGGCTCGTGACGCTTCTGCAGGCCAGAATTTTACGCCACGGAAGCTATTTTTACTACCCCCCCCCCCGCCAACCTTCAGTAAAATGAGAAAGAATTCATAACCCATATCAGACACACTCAGATAATCCAAGCCTTGAAGAGCTCAACATTTCCTATAACCTCTTTTATGCCCCTCACAAATGCTTTAACAACTTTAATAAGATAATGTATAGCTATTATCATACAGCTAGCGCAAGTCAAACAACTATCAGCTATTATTTCAGCAACAGAACTAATGCTCAGCATTCCCGTAATCCGCAGACTGGAACAGTTTACACATTGTCAATTTCAGAAAGAATTGGCTTTTCCCACAGATCAAAATTTACGCTGATAGATGGGAACTGTTTAGCAGACCCTTCACACCCAGGTAATATGCCGCAGCAAAAAGAGGAATAATGAGGGTATCAACTGGACTTCTGAATTAATGATACCTAAAATTAGCTTAATTAATTAGTTTAGTTACTAAAATAATTTAGTTAGCAGCATAATTAATATTTGTAAAGCACTTTTGAGATAAAAGCTGAACTGCATACAAAGGCTATTATGATTGGGCTGAAACCTCAGGCCCCTAATGTGTTTTATCGAGAAAGTTCAGCTGTGTTTACTCGTAACTAGAAGAAGCAAATAGAGAACAGCGTGTTAAAAAAACCAACGGCTGCATTCGAGCAGGATCTCCAATGTTGCAGACTGTTAAAAACACAGCTTGTTCTTATTAGTGGTTAAATCCTGACATTTTTTCTGAGGCCTCGATCCTGCAATGAGCCCCACATAGGGGTGCGGGGGGAAGATCCCTGTGCCTGGACAGAGCCCCAGTGAAGTTCATGTGAAGGTCAAGGCAGAACTTGGGCCTTAGCTATTAACCAATTGTTTTGCCAAGTCCTTACTCAGACAAACTCCCTGGTTTTATGGGAACAGAGAAGAATCAAGCCCCTTCTTTCTTAGCTCTCCTAAAACCAGTCCAAAAAAAATCATTGCACTGTGGGTTTTAAACGAGTTCTAAACAAGAAGAAAACTGTTAAATGGTATGCATATGGTGAATCTATCAATGGGAGCGGTGGATTCTCCATCTCTTGAAGTCTTCAGATCAAGACTGGATGCCTTTCTGAAAGATATGCTTTAGTCAAACACAAATCCTAGGGCTCAGTATGGGTAACTGGATCATATTCTATGGCTTGTGTTATACACAAGGTCTATTCCATTCAGGTTGTTAGAATGTTCAACATCACAGTATCTAAGCATCAACCACTAGTGCATTAAGGAACATGACTAACATCTGTCTTATGTTTTTTCTCTCATCCTCTCCTCAGTGGGAGAAGTGTGTGCAGTGGAGTGTTTTGGTTTGCATTTTTTAATGATTATATTTTAAATATAGAATGTATAACAGATATGTAGCAATGTGTGTGTGTTTGAATGCACACCCCCCCACATAGGTACATTGCTTTGTGTTTGGGTTAGAGAAGGCAAGGTAAAAGAAACGTGCCTTGCACTTTACAGTGGAAGGAGGTGAGGTTGTCATTCCAGCAGGAGCTCATTCCACAGTCTTGGGGCAGCCCTGAGGGATTATGGTCCCTTAGACCCTTAAAATCTACGGCTTTAGGGATCAGACCATGAGAAAAATGCACAAGGTAACAAATAAATCTCATTACTTCTTTGCAGTTGACATTGCGTCCAGGTAAGGGTCCAGTCCAACAGCAATATCCAGAGCTTTCTGTAAATAATGCTTTAGCTGTTCAGGAACCCGAGAGTCACCATGTGCTATTTCTCTGGCTTTCCTAAGGTTCTCAGCAATAAGCCCCATTGGTGTTTCTGAAAAAGAAAACAAAAAAGGAAGTACTTTTCAAATTGAATATGGCAGCACCCCGTACAACGATTTTGTAACTGCTCCGGGTTTAATGGTTGTCCAGTGGAAAATAAAAGCTTTTCTGTTTTTAAAACCTGAAAACAGAATTTTGTTTTTTGACAAAATGAAAACAAAACAAAACAATTGCATCAAAAATCCAAATTAAGTAAAAAAAATCCAGACATTTTAATTGAAAATACATAGACTTTTTCAAGTTGTTGTTGTAGCCGCCAAGACCTTCTGCTCCAAAACATGCAAGCCCCTCTCACCTGACTTGAAGGAGAATCTCCATTAACTGTAGAAACAGCCACTAAAGGGCATTTGACGTGCACATAACCCACTGGTGAATGTGTGTTACAGGATCCTTTCTGTGCCTGATTTACAGGGTCAGAGTCTGTTATAGCCGCAGCAAGGAAGCCTCAGCTTTTCAGTTAATGCTTCTAGCTCCAGCAATCCTGGTTCAATCCCTGTGTGTCTGCCAAGATGGAGTAGTCTGTCTCACCAGCACACACACACACACACACACACACACTGACATTCTGTTTGGTACAGGGCAGTTGTACGCACGCACACGGTATTACACGTTCCACCAGTCAGACAAAGTTTGTCTTAAAGCACCTGGGTGTTTAAAATGAACATGCTGGCTCTGGTCATTAGCGATGGTCAGGAATTTTTGACAAAACAGTTTTTTTGGAAAGGAGAGACTGACTCTGCAGCTTGGTGCTCCGGGCACTCTCGTGGGAAGCGGGAGAACCAGATTCAAGTCCCTGCTCCAAATTAGCAAGATTGGGGACTTTGACCTGGGTGTCCCCTCCACCTTCCACATGACAGCCTTAAGCACGGGGCTGTTGGCTTCTCTGGGGTCTCCCTTTCTCTGCGTTGGATTCTGTGACAATTTTTGAAAGGTCTTTGGTTTGTCTCACTGACGAACGGGAAAAACTTCTGAAATCTCAAACATTTTCACAGGTTGGGAAAACCCTTTCTTGCCCAGCTCCTGCTGTCATTGAACTATACTATATTCAGCTACAGGCACAGAAATCAGCTCCTTCTGCTTCAAGAACACTTGAGCTAAAGCAACTGCGCTATTAAGCAGCGAAGTATTAGGACTTCTATCCGCAGCAGTAAGTCATTAGCAGGGACCGAACATGGAGGCTCTG